AAAATTTGAATTCATAAAATGTAATATAAGTTGAATTAAAAATAAAAGGTTAGATTTGAATTCACAATTTGAATTCGCAACATTCTCCCTCTTCTCATAATGTCATCGGAGAAATAATAGAGAGTTTGTTGTCCAAGTGGTTTATCGTTTTGGTAATCAAGTTGTATCACAAATCATCATAACGTTGGCTTGTCCCAATCGTTGGTTTGTTTAAATCGATTTTGCACGTTGATTTGTTTAAATCGCAAGCTTGATATCCTTATTGTAATTTGTCTCCATTAATCATAGCTTGTTTGATAGTACTCAGTTGTTATTATTATCATAAATAAGTTGTGAATAATGAGAAATAATAGTTCATCATATTGGATATAAGAATAAATGAAGAATGATAAATCAATAAGATTGTTATATAATATTTTCAGCGTTTTAATATAAGCGTTTTAATATTTAATTTACTTTATGCAATTTAATATTTATTTTATATTTTAAGTTACATAGTCTTTTAAATAAACAGGTTTTTTTTTATTTCGCACAGGTCTAGAAATAGGTGTTATTTCGTTATTATCAATGATTTTTATATTTTTGTCCACACTTCCTTCCTCAAAAGAATCCTTAGAGTCATAGTTAATAATTGTGTTAAAACAGTTTCTAATTCTTATTTGATCTAAATGTCTCCTCAAAATACCTTTCTCAGTCTTAATTTGGAACATCATAACACTTTCTTTATGTGTGATTATACCTTTGCACCATTTATCAACACCTTGTACTTTATACCAAACAAAATCTCCTACGTTAAAAGTTCTATTTCGTGGTAAAGTAATGTTTATTTTATTCTCCTTCTCCTCCATCAGTTTTAATAAGTCCCATTTAATTCTAATATCTCGATTAAACATTCTCTGAGATGGTGTAACTCCTGTAGTATCATTACGCGTATTTCTGTAATTAAATAAAAATTTGCTAAGTGCAATATCTGGGTCAATTTTAATATTCCTTTTCATATGTGTTTTGAACTTTCTAACCATGCGTTCTACCTGGCCATTGGATTGCTGGTGATAAGCAGATGTAAGCACATGTTTAATACCAAAATTGTTGCAAAATCTTTCAAAATCGTTACTCGTAAAGTTAGTGCCGTTATCAGTAACTATGGTTTCAGGTATTCCATATAGCGAAATAGTTTTAAAGATTTCTTTTAAAGTAACATCCGTCGTAATATTTTTAACAGGAATAATAATTGGAAATTTGCTGTAGGCATCGACTATTATCAACCAATTTTTTGTGAAAAACGGACCCGCATAATCTATGTGTATCCTATCAAACGGTTTGGTTGCCGAAACCCATGGTTTTTGTATCTTTATAGGATTATCATGATATATATTACAATCGTCACAACTTTTCACTTCCATAACTATATCATTATTTATACCAGGCCACCACATGTACTCTTTGGCTAAGGATTTGATTTTCCCTGCCCCCAAGTGACCTTCATGTAATGACTGTAGTAAATTTTTTCTCATAGAAGACGGAATTATGATTTTATTGCTTTTGTAAAGACAATCCTTAATTATACTTAATTCCAATTCAATGTTTTTATAAATATTATTCACAATAGGCCTGTTGTTATTAATATCACTTATGACTTGTTTTAATTCTATATCTTTCAAAGTTTCATCACGAATTTGATCAAAGTTAATAGGTAAATCCTCATATTCATTTATTATGGTTACATTTTCAATAGTTTCATCACGACATTCTTGTGGTAATCTCGAGAGACAATCAGGAACAACATTATATTTACCGGCTATACTTTATATTAAAATCATATCCTCCTAATGTAATATTCCACTTTAGGAGTCTTAACGACATGGTGCTGTTATCCTTAAGACCCTTGGTAAAGATGTGAACTAGAGGCTTATGGTCAGTAATAATTGTAAATTTTGTGCCTATTAAATATTCCTGGAATCTCTTTATAGCGAACATTATAGCGAGAGCCTCACGCTCAATATTGGTATAGTTCAATTCAGATTTTAATAAAGTTCTCGACGCGAAAGCTATAGGTTTTTCTTTACCATCTTTTTCAATATGAAATAGTACAGCTCCTAAACCACATTTTGATGCGTCAGTGGCTATCCCTATAGGTAATTCAGGATTAAAATATGTCAAAGCAGGTGGTAGACTAATCAACTTTTTAAGATCATTAAAACTTTTAGAGTGTTCAAGGTTCCAAGCCCATTTTTCTTTGTTGACAATCTTATAAAGAGGATCGGCAATTTCCGCAAAATTGTTCAAAAATTTTCTATAGTAGCCAGCCATTCCCAGAAATGTTGATAATTCAGCAGCTGATTTTGGTTCTGGCATTTTAATTATTGCTTCAATTTTGTCGTGATTAGCATGAATCCCCTTAGCGCCAATATCATGACCCAGGAACCTCACTTTGTTTTTAAAGAACACACTTTTATTAAAGTTAGGTATTAGCCCAAACGATGATATTCTATCAAACACTTTTTTTATGTTGTTAAGGTGGGCTTCATCGTTTTTTCCAGTTATAAGTAAATCATCAATATAAAATATGACGTCATAGATCTGATCCATAATCTGTTGAAAAATTGCAGATGAGGTCTTAAGCCCAAAAGGAAGTCTAGTAAATTGGTAATATCCCTTATTATACGTAGATATGGTTAAAATATTTCTGCAATTTTTATCAATTGGTATCTGTAAGAAAGCATTTTTAAAGTCAATCTTCGTAAATTTCTTTCCTTCTGAAAGTTTAGCAATTAGATCATTGATTCGTGGTAGAGGGTATCTAAAATCTTCTAGAGCTGGGTTTACAGTGTCCTTAAAATCAGCACAAAGCCTAATGATCCCATCTTCTTTGTAGACAGCGGTAACAGGACTTGACCATCGGACATCATTCACCGGCTCAATCATTTTATCATGTATCCATTTTTTGAGTTCATTACTAACAAGATCAATTTTTGAATAAGGGATACGTCTAGGCGGTATAATTTTAGGTTGGGTATCACTTCTTAAATGTAACTTGACACTTGCTTTGTTGATTGGCCCATTAGTTAATTTCGATTCACACTCTTTAATCAATTTTTTTATTTCATCTTCATAATTAGTGTCAATATTTGCTATAAATTTATTTAAAATATTTTTGAAAGCATTGATCCACGTACGTCCCAACAAGGCATTTTTACTTGATTCGACGATTACCGCTTGTAAATATTTTGAGATGTGGTGCTGATGATTTTGATTAAATTCCCGTCATAAGCGGTGAGTTGTAGCTCGGATTTCTTAAGAGCTCTTACCAAGTTTTTTAGCAAGACCATGAGGTATAATAGTGTGTTTGGAACCAGTGTCAATCTGCATACAAGTAACAATATCGTTCACTTTTAAAGTAGTCATAAATGCGTTATCTTTGTCATTAATCACGTCACCAGATAAATTGTTGACATTAAAATCATTATCATCTTTGTTCTTTGTAGAATCAACTTTCTCTTCAATAATTTCTTCAATATTAATGTTGTAATCATTGTTGTATTGTATTTGCTTTCTATTATTTTCGTCGCCACTTCTATAATTATTTGAGTTGTTGTTATATTGTATTTGCTTTCTCTGATTATTATCATTACCTCTATAATTATTTGAGTTGTTGTTATATTGTATTTGCTTTCTCTGATTATTATCATTACCTCTATAATTATTTGAATTGTTGTAATAAGATTGGTAATTGTTACGATTTCCGTCACCGTATTGGATTTGTTTTCTTTGATTATTATCATACCATGTATTATTTCTACCATAATTCGATTGATTATTATTATTATAGCGATAATTGTTAGTTATAATTGTTATAATTATCGTGGTATCGCGAATTATTATTACCATAATTGTATCTAAAATTATTATTGTAATTCCCATTTCTATATCTATTATCATAATTATTTCTAAACTACTGCAAAAATTTTTATCTTTATCAAACTTTTTATCATTATTTATATAACTTATATCATTATCCTCAGACTTAATATTACTAGAGTCCAGTTTCACCCCTAATTGAACCATCTGATTTAACGTCAAGTTATTTTTGGAAAATTTGTATTTAATCTTGTCATTTAAAGTAGAAGTGCGTAGTTTTTCTTTTAATCTACTATCGTCCAAAAATTTACATTTTTTATGAAGTTTCGATACTCTAATGTACCATAGCATAAAACTCTCTGATGAGTTTTGTTGAAGAAGATTAAATTTCTTAATTAAAGTATTTAAATCTAGCGCTGGTAAAAGATAGGTTAACTTTTTAATCACAATTTTAAGATCTAAAATATCGGTATCAGAACAAATTGCCTTAATGTCGTCAAAAACTTCGTCTGATAAATTATTAAGCAAAGTATTTATTTTAATAGAGTCCGATAATGTACTAGTCGAAAAATAATTTAATATTCTGTCTAAATAAATTTCGGTAAGAGGACCCACTAACTTAGGGATCTTCTGTATAAACTCTTGTTTTATTTCCATGTTTAATTAATAAGACACATATATAAGCAATTATATTTATTATTTTAGTAATTCAAATTTTGTACAGCTATTCATGTTTTAATAAATATACAAATTAATTGAATGAAATCTCTATCGTTGTAGATATAATGTTTCCCATTTAGCAACTCGAAACAATTAATCATATCTCTTAAATTCATGAATTCAAACAACACGTCCTCCGTACCATTTATTCTAGAAAAATTAACGTCACAATTGAAAGTTAGGTCAAAAAGGATGTCATAGATTGAAATATGGTGGGGAATATTAATGATCTTGAATGAAAACATAATGTAAAAAAAATGAATTTACTTTACAATCTTCTTCTATATATAGGGGAAAAAAAATTTTTATTATTATTTTTTTTTAAAAAAAGAAAAACATTATTTTATCCATTAGGTGAGAATTTTTTTCCTAACCCGGGGCACCATGCAAAATAACATGAAAATGTGCATAAAAGTAAAAAACGTGTTTATTTATATTTAACTTTATTATTACTATCTATTCCATCTCATACATCGTTTATATACATTTTTATAAATCTAAATAGAATACAAACGAAAAACAAAAAAGTAAAAATATTATAAAATATAAAAAGTAGGTTACGCCGTACATAAAATTAAGGTTACGCAAAATTACAAAAATAAAAAATTAAATTGAAAAGAAAAATTTGAATTCATAAAATGTAATATAAGTTGAATTAAAAATAAAAGGTTAGATTTGAATTCACAATTTGAATTCGCAACAATAATATATAATATAAAATATTTCATTTTCATTTTATACATTATTTATATCGAAATGGGTTTATATATTAATATCTGTTTTTGAAAGAATTTAAACAGCTAGATATGAAATAAACAAAGGTAAAAAATATTTTCGCAGCCTATCCTCAGTCTAAATTATTATACTACATATCTTTTTACTGATTTCATACATAATTCAAATATCCGTATATTTTTGCCGCGTTTTCCCGTATCTCTTCCATTCTATGGCATTTGAGTTGAAACAACTTTCCCCTTAAAAAATTGGAACATCCGAGTATCACTTGAATCAAAGCATTATTATTATTAGAGGGAGAGTCCGGACCAGAAACTAAGACCGAAAAATTTAGAGAATTATTGGAAGAAGGGTCTCTATATTTTTGCTCCTCGTTGTAGAACTTTAGCAAATGCTCCAGCAAGGTTGTGGACCGAAGCAATAATTGCGAATCGATACCGGAATCAAAAAGAAATATTATGTTTTTGTCCACCTGTTTTTTTGTATGAAAAAATATTATGCATTAATTATATTAGTTGATTTTTTGAATCCGAAGCGTGCTAAAGGGATATAAAGGGTAAAAGTTAGGCTTAATTCAATACAATCTTCTGTTTTCACCAAATAATTGAAATTTTTTTTTAAAAGAAGGTAGGGGAGACCAGTGAGAGTGTTATCCTGGGGCATAAATTTTCTTATCAAATAATATACCTTGAGATTTAAATTTAAACTAATGTATTTTAATAAGAAGCCATGAAAATTTTAAATGCAAATTTAAATTTTAACACCTTAAAAGTAACTATTAATATTTTTATATTTTTAATTAATACTGGCCCGGCCCAGATTAAAAAATTTTCGGTCCGGCCCGGATTTTTTTTTCAAAAATTTTTTATGGCCCAGCCCGGGTTTTTTTTTTTTAAAAAAAAAATTTTTTTAGGCCCGGCTCGGAATTTTTTAAAATTATATTCGACCTGGTATATACAAAAAATTCATTATTTCGTATTTTATCATATTTTTCGCCGAGTATTATCATTTAATAAGCAAGTATATTAGCTAATGTTGTTAAACGACTCGTTTTGAGCCGATTTTTAAAAACGGCTAACTCGAAATTTCGATACTATATGTCTAGACCTTTGCTCCTTCTATGAGCAAAATAAGCTTGCATAATATTTTTCTGGATAAAACACTGAGTTAGCCGTTCTTAAAAATCGGCTCAAAACGAGCCGTTTAGCAACACTAGCTAATATACTTGCTTATTAAATGATAATACTCGCCGAAAAATATGATAAAATACGAAATAATGAATTTTTTGTATATACCAGGTCGAATAATGTATATTTTTTATTAATTAAAATATTATTTTATTTTTTTTATTATAAACAGATATTTAGTATATTACAAATTGATACTATAAAAAATTTGTGCAAATAATATTTTGAGAATATACTATGTGTAAAAAAAAAGTTTGCGACAGAGCTTACTATAACTTGTGAAAATCTCACAAAAAACGGGCAGCAGACCTTATTGTGAAAATCGCTTGATAGGAAACTTTGGTAATCCCTTTTTTTTTATATATTCAACTGCCTCACTTAAGAGGACTTAAAAATCCTTTTTTTATATTCAACTGCCTCACTTAAGAGGACTTTGTAATCCTTTTTTTTAAATTCAACTGCCTCACTTAAGAGGACTTAGGTATTCTCTTTTATATTCTTTCTGCCTCACTTAAGAGGACTTTGGTAAAACGACACAAAATTTAAGGACTAAATAATTTATTTAACAATAATTTTCTTACAACTATTTTCAAATACAAATTAGTATAGATCGGGCAAAAAGAAATATAATAATTTCCAATTTTTTTAAAGCACAATAAAATATTAAAATATAAAATAAAAATACGCGTGTATCTTTTAAACCAAAAAATAAAAATAATAATAAATTTTTCCTTTTTTAAGTCTTTTATATCTTGCGCATTTTGTAAAATAAATAAATATTTATTAATAATCTATATTTTTGATAATCATGACTTGACAAAATAACCCAAATAAAAAAATTACAATGATTACGCAAAACTAAAGGTTATCTGACATTGAATAAAAATTGAAAAAAAAAGAATACATATATATAACACGCCCCCACTAATCGAAAACCAAACGTCGCAACTTCAACCTCATTCCCGAAATAATTATTGTCCTTTCATGGTATTTTTACGAATTCGAACGGTAGTTAGCTCCACGAGTATCCTCCCTTTGTTCGCTGATAATTTCTGATCCAATTTTCATTATTATTATTATTATTATCTATCGCACAGGTTGAGTTAAAGCATATCCATATTCAATCTTTGCTCTAGTTGCCTCCACCCCCCAGATTTTCATCGGATATACGAAGCAGAATTTCCGATCAATTAATTCTTCCCATTCATACACCTGATCGTAATTTCCCAGGTTCTACACCCTTTTTCAATTGATCCCGATGCCTTATTCCTTCTCTTCCGTTGGCAAACTTTACTCGATTTAATTTGTGTCCAATGTTTTCCATGATCACTCCAGATTCCCACTTTCTTGTACCGCCATATATTCTGGCCTACACGGTCTGTCCCACTACAAATTCCGCCGTCTCATTCATCTCTCCTTCCACTTCTTGACTTGGTTTCTGCTTTAACAAATCCAATAATATCCGAGTTCGCCTCCCTAAAAACTTCTCTGCCGGAGATTGTTCTTCTCCCTTTCGACTGTTGTTGTAATAAGCTACTGCTATCCAAATTTCCCCTTCTCCATATTTTGATTTTCGTAACCAGTTTTTGACAACCGCCATCATCCTCTCCGCCTGACCATTCGAACTTGGGTGGTACGGCGGCGCCAAAATGTGTCTCGCCCCGGTTTGAACACAAAACAACCTGAACTGTCCACTTATAAAGGCTGGACCTCCATCCGATACTATTATCTTCGCCACTCCGAACCGAGCCCAAAGATTTTTTAACGTCTTTATCACCACCTGAGTTGTTAATCCCCTCACTTCTTCGTACTCTACCCATTTGGAATATGCATCCACCACGAGTATATATATTTTGGTTTCAAAGTCAAAGAAATCAACGTGTATGCGCCCCCATGGCTATGTAGCCTTCGGCCATACACTTTTCTTGTCTTTATGCGGCATACTCGCCCATGCATTACACATCAAACAACTCCGGCTCATATCTTCAATCTCTTTATTCATCCCAGGCCACCACACATATTCACGACCCCACTGCTTCATCTTTTCAACTCCTTGATGTCCCGCATGAATCATTGCCTTTACCTCCTCCCTTAATTTGTATGGCACGACTCCTCTATTTCCTCGTACTACGCACTCGTCTACTATTGCCAACTCTTTCTCTACATGTTTATATTTTTTATCTCCATCCCGCCACTGCTTTCGACCCTGTATATACGCTTTAATCCGCGTCAATTCGCGATCTTTTAACGTGGCCCTTCTGAATTGTTCCCATGTAACTGGTCCTTCTTTAGATATTCCTACTATCGTCCTAATCAGTCCGTGTTCATCCTCTTCCTCCATATCTTTAGACCCACTCTCTTCACAATCTTCTCCCGCTCCACACCTAGAAAGAATATCCGGTAAGTAATTTTCCTTTCCTCGCCGATACCTCAACTGGACATCAAAACTGCCTACCATTAATTGCCATCTCTGCAGTCTAGGCGATAGCATCAGCTCCTTGTTATCCTTCCTAAACACACCAGCGGTTTGTGATCCGTGTATACTAAAAGTCTGCGCCCTATTAAATATTCCCGGCATTTTGTGAGTCCAAAAATGACGGCATACGCTTCTTTTTCAATAACTGAATATCTGGTCTCCGCCGCTCTAAAAATTCTCGAGAAAAATAATACAGGTCTCTCCAGGCCGTCTATGAAATGCAATAACGCTCCTCCTACACCTCTATTGGACGCGTCTACGGCTAACATCACCTTCAGATCATTGTTGAAACACATTAAAACTGGTTCTCTCCCAATCCTAGATTTTAACTCCCCAAACGCCTCCTCCTGTTCATTCTTCCAATCAAATCTTTCTCCTTTCTTTAACAATTTATATAACGGCGCCGCTATTTGTGCGAAACCCTCCACAAATCGGTGAAAATAATTTACTATTCCGAGAAAAGCCTGCACCTCCCCTTTATTACTTGGCCTTAACATACTCGTAATCCCAGTCATGTTTTTATTCAATGGTCCCACCTCCTTTCCCGTGATTTTATGCCCTAGATATATGACTTCCAACACGCCTAAGACACTCTTTTCAGCACTTGCTCGCAACCCCTTCTCTTTAATTCTTCTAAAGACCTCCTCCAACCTATTTTCATGTGGTTCAGGAGTTTTTCCAGTCACCAATACATCATCCATATAATAGAAAACCCCTTCTAAACCCTGGAACACTGCTGCCATCGTCCGTTGAAAAATTGGTGCCGAAACGCTTAGTCCAAAAGGTAACCTACAAAAGGCGTATAATCCCCTCGGCGTAGTAATAGTCAATAGATTCTGCACCTCTGGTCTCACCCGCAATTGTAAATAGGCGTTCGAAAAATCCACCTTTGAAAAATATACGCTTCCCTTTAGACTGGCCAATATCTCTTCAATACGTGGCAAAGGATATTTCACTTCCACAACCCACGGGTTTAGCGTGACCCGGAAATCGGAGCTTCCCGTTGGCCTTCTTCACCGGCACCAACGGTGTTGCCCACTCACTATATTCCACAGGACACACAATCCCTTTCTTTACCACTGATCCAATTCTTCCACTTCTCTTCGCCATTCGAATGGTACTCGTCGCAATCCACAAAATTTCGGCACACAGCCCTCCTTCATTTTAATATTAACTTCATAGTCTCTCAAACATCCCAATTCTTCACCGAAAATTTCTTGATAATTATCCACCAATTTACGTACTGACTCTTGCACTTTGTACATTCCTATTTCCATCTCTTTATTCCGCAATTCCGCGTCGCTATCCTGATTCATTTCCGTCTCCACTCCTCGAATATCCGCTTTTCCTCCACCTTTACATTGCATTTCCTCGATCTCCACTGTCCATTCCTCTGGCAACCCTATTTCCTTTAAAGAATTCCCATCGTAATCTCTCCTAACAGTCTTCCCTACTTTCCCCCTAACCGTTCTCTTCTCCTTCTTAATACTCGCCAATGAGTCCCCCCGTTTACTCCCCAAAGAGTCCCCCCGTTTACTCCCCAATAAGTCCCCCCGATTACTCCCCAATGAGTCCCCCCGTTTACTTCCCAATGAGTCCCCCCGATTACTCCCCAATGAGTCCCCCCGTTTACTCCCCAATGAGTCCCCCCGATTACTCCCCAATGAGTCCCCCCGATTACTCCCCAATGAGTCCCCCCGTTTACTCCCCAAAGAGTCCCCCCGTTTACTCCCCAATGAGTCCCCCCGATTACTCCCCAATGAGTCCCCCCGATTACTCCCCAATGAGTCCCCCCGTTTACTCCCCAAAGAGTCCCCCCGTTTACTCCCCAATGAGTCCCCCCGATTACTCCCCAATGAGTCCCCCCGATTACTTCCCCATATTTCTCTCATAGATTCATTTTCCCCTATTTTCCTCTTAGAAACATGCGTCCCTATATCTCCTTTAGAATTCACTTCTCTTATTCTCTCATCTCCTACGAATATTCTCGTCTCATTCGCAGCTTCTTCCCTTAGCTCTATGATATTTCCCCGCTCTATCCCCTCCCTATTCCTACTAAACGCTGCCTCGAATTCCGATAACGCTTCTCCGTATTCCTCTGATACGTTACCATACACATCTTGTCTAGTCAAGGGTACAAACACTCCCCACCATGCAAATACTCCCCAAAAACTATACCATGGTCCTATCGGGTGATCCAGTCCCAACCCATCACCGCCTCAACCCCCCGATTTATAATCCATAAATCTATTATCTCCACTTTTCTCCCAATGTCGCTTCTATTTCAACTCTCCCCATTACAGACACTGGTGACCAGGCGCGTAACCAATGGGGGGGAAAGGGGGAAATTCCCCCCCCATCGCAAATTTGACTATTTTCATAAATATCATTTTAAGCTAATAAAAATTTTACCCCCACCCTCCACCCCCCCCCCCTACCACCAATCAAAATTTTACAAATATTTGAATATCAATTTTCCAACATATTATTCAAAAATATTAATAAAATGGAAAAATATTTAGTCAAAGAGATTGAAATCAAACGATAATTTATAAATAAGGCTGAGCATGAAAAAAAGTAATGTGTCGTCAGCAGCGATATCATTATTGAATTCAATTGATCAATCAGAGTTTATCATTGCTGCTAGTTGCATCAATAAATTATTTTTAGCTCACTACTTTGTAGAAATTTACAAAAACCAAATCTAGATTTGGTTTAGGTTATTGATTTGGTGGAAAATATACATTAACAGGTAGATACAATAAGAATGAATGTAGATAAAATATCCATTTTCATCTCATTCTTAGATACTTTTTTATCGCAAATAAAAGTACGGGTTTTAGATAAAAAACAAGTCTTTAGCAATCTTCAAGTTTTATTACCCAAAGATCCTTCTTCATTTTCTAATGCCACTATTGGTAAAATTAAATATTTAGAAAAATTTTATTCCTATAAGATTGATACTGAAATAAATTTAATCTGTGGATTCGAATTGTGGTATAAATATTTATACGTTTATCTATTTACGTTTAGCTATTTTACCTGAGCATGCTATTGATGCGCTCAATCGGTGTAAAGAAACCTTGGCTCAATTTCCTAATATTTCGAAGTTGTTTTATATTCTTGCATGTTTGCCTATTACAACATGTACGAATGAAAGGACTTTTTCCAACTTGAGAAGGTTGAAAACATATTTACGAAGTACTGAATCTCGGCTAAATGGGTTAGCTCTGTTAAATATACACAGAGATTTGGTTCCAACGACAAACGAAATAATTAAAAATCTTGTATTTGATAAGAAGTTAAAAAAAACTTGTTAATTTAATTATTTTCTAGTCAATATTTTAAACACACTACTATTAGTATTTTCAATAAAAAAATTATATTCTACTTATATTGTATGAGAATTTAAACTGAGGCTAGTATTTAAAGCAAATTTTATAAAAAAAATGACATTACACTTTATTTCAACTTTACATTTAAAAAAACTTTATTAAATATAATATACCTAACTTGAAATAATAAAAAAGAGGCTTGTAATATCCTATCCATAAGCACGAATTAGTAAATAATAGTTAAAAATAGAAATATAATTATTATTAAATTATGAATAATTTAATAGAATAGCTAACCGGGGGAAAGCTGGCCGAAGGCCAGGTAAAAGGGGTTTGGGGGCGAAGCCCCCAAAAATTTTTTCCCCCCCCCCTATAAGAAAATCCTGGATACGCCACTGCTGGTGACCCATCGAATTGCCGTATTCTCAATCTTTCATTTACGATCATCTCATCAGGCCAAATACTTCTATATTTATCGTATCCAATGACCGAAATAGCCGCTCCCGTGTCAAATAACATTGGTACCAGGCTCCCATGCGCTTTTTATTTTTAAATTCATAAGTTGGGGGGGGGGATGTCGTGAAGTTGGCCTCCCATTTTGTTCTTTGAATATCTCAAAAACGGTGATGGTACAAATCGAACTGAAAACGGTACAAATCAGTCCAGCTGATAAACTATTAAAAATCCAAAAGTGGGGGTCCAACTTCCCGGACTTGTTTAAGCCTTGTATTTAAAAAAGTTTAAAACGCTGGCCAGGTAACTGTTGTAATATTATGTTTATTATTCTTATGTTTTTTTGGGGTTAATTGATTGTTATTGCAATGTTGTCAATGATATATTGTATTTTTTATATGAAAAAGAGAAAATGTCAAGGATGTAATTTATTTTTATATGAAAAAGAGGTACACTAGATCATTTATTTTTAATATATTTTTATTTTTCCATTGATTTTGTTTATGTATTTTTGTTGCGATATTATTTTTTAATAATATATTGATTATTTTTAACATAAAAATATTAATTATTTTTGTATCGCGAATTAAAAAAAAAGAAGTTATAAAATTTAAATGTGTCTGAAAAAAGTCTTTTAAAGGAAGCTAAATAAAAGTATAAAAGTTAAGTTATAAAAACTAAAAAATTAAAATTGGGCCGGGCAGGATATGACATTAACTAAATTTTCACCAAGCCACCTGAAAATATTACCATTTGCAGACTTCTGCCTCCAACTACAAAAAGGTAGGTGAATAATAAACAAAATAAGAACTCTGATATAGAGGACTGCAATAGGTGGGTTTTAGCCAACAAGTCTGCCCTCTTTTTTTTGAATTTTTTAGGTCGATCGTCCACCTATGATTATCTTAAAAAATTCATTCGCCCAACCGACCATTTATCTAAAAATTTTGTGTAACCCGTCCGCCCAATGTATAAATTATTTCAATAGCTGGTTTGGCTCTTTATTTATTTTAATTAAATTCATAATGTAACATCATTAAAAAAAATGATTTAAAATAAATAAGAGGTCTGTTCTACTCATTTGGCCAAAAAAATTTTAAATTCACATTCCCATTTTTATAAAAATATATTTTAACCCATTCGCCACCTCCATATGTTTAAAATATTTTAGAAAGTCCGACCAAGCCAGTCTGCAAAATGGCGATCGGGCTAAAGCCCGCCCATTATAGATCTATATTATCTTTAAACCAGATTAGTGGATAATTTGAAGAATAAAAATATTATTGGAAAAATAAGATTTAAAGAAATTGAGATAATGCAAAATTGTAAAAACACCGAATATTAAGGCTGCACCAATATTTATCCTGCATGGTTCAGCTAGGGGCAAAAAACATTAAAATCAGGCTGGGCTAAAAAAATAATTTTAAAAAATCTAAAAAATAAAATATGTTTCTTTTATTAAAATTAAATAATTATATTTCTATGAGATTAAGGCAAATTGATTTTTTTTAATTACATTTAACTTTATAAAAATGTGCTTTTAAAAAAATTCAATCAAAAATTCAGTGGGGCCTTAAATTAATAAAAATTTAGGGCAGGGTTTAAAAATTAATAAAACCTTGGGTTGGGCTTAAAATACTAATAAACATAATATTGAATTTGCAGATTTTTAAAAAGCAATGCGTTTCTTTTAAACTATAAGAAATTTTAAGCCAAAATATGTAAAATTTAAATAAATCCTAAAGATAAACAGTTAGAAAAAGCATTTTTTTTACAAATATGGATACAAAAATCGTGTAGTTTTTTTAAAATTTCCTTACCTAGCCTAGAAAGGATGTCATTTCAATAATAAAAAAGCCATGATAATATCTAAAAAAAGCACCCTACTTTGGCTCGGCAAATATAGTAAACTATCTCGAGGTAACAAGATAGATTTACGAGAAGCTTGAGAGCGTTGAGCTTGATTTCGTAATTTTTTTGGTCCAATAAAATTCCAAAAAGCTTAGATAACGTTTGGGTATTGCGAAATGAATCCATGCAGGGGGAAAACACTGTCAAATTGATCAAAGCATTCAGGGCTACCACATAAAATCGTGAATTCAATTTGATGGAACTGGGAATATGGCGTTTATTTGTTATGGGTACAATGTTATGATATTGCCGATTCTCGAAATCGTTTAGTAAAAGTTTGAGCAAGCATGGAGTACATTCCTAGTTATAGCATGTAATATACTATTTTTAAGGGGCATAAAAGAAAGAATAAGAGATTAAAGAAAAGAGGAGAAAGAATTTTTAAAATAAAATATTTTCGAACCTTTAAAATGAGTTGATTTTTGGGATTAAGCGATAAATTTGCTATGCATTGGGTAGAAGCTATCAAAACGCGGCAATCAGTAGAGGTAGACAAAATACGCATTAAATGATTAAGACAACCGATCTCCCGAAAAAGGTTCTGAACAAAAAAATAAATATCAAATAGAAATTATAATTTATGTAAATGTTCAGATTAGAGGCCTGCAATGGGTAGGTTTTAGCCAAAAAACATTGCGCGTTTAACATTATTTTTAAAATTGAGCTCAAACGGGTGAATTAAAATATTTTTAGACTGAAATAAATGAAAGAACCTATATTCATTAAAAGTTATTTTTTAATTCCGAATATTGCACATTTTATAAATTTGAGTCAGAAACCCGATAAAAATTAACCGGATTCGGTTCTAGGTAAAAAATCAGTTAGGGTTCGGTTGAGGGGAATATATTTGAACCCGGGTTTAGGAATATTTCAATTGTGTATAAATTTTTTTCATATTTATTTTAAAAAAAAATAAAAAACTAGTAAGCATAGCCATGTATATATTTAAAAATTTATTTAGATATATTAGCATATCTTCCAAGAGTTGTTCGCTCATCCTCAATCTTTGCTGTGAAAGAATGAATTTCAAATGCGAAAAAGATCTTTAACGCTAACCTATATTTATATGAAATATCATAAATTAACTTGAATTGCAAGAACGCAAATAAGATTTTGGATAAAATATATAAATCAGGGTGCTGCAGCTTAGCAGCCTCCCAAAAATGCAAATTATTTTCCTTCTCATTTAATCATACATTAATTAGTTCCAATACTTTTCTCCGCAATTGTTGGCCTATTTTAGGTATTTTCTTATGCATAACTTTATGTATCAATTTCTCCTTGTACAATCAATAACTTCATTCGAACTATTAATTTAACAAGACGCCTTTTTGCACAAATCCAGTCATTATCACTAAACAGTATCTATAATATATAAGGATTTACACTGTTTAATTTAAATAAATTGAAATTAAAAAATCATTATTTATTAATATCTGTATTTACAATTATAAAAATATCTTAATATATAATTTTAAATATAAAATACACTGAACCCGGTTAGGTTTCGAATTTTCAAAACCCTGAGTTTTCTGCTCTGGGTTCAGTTTAAATCCCTGGTAAAAATATTTTAAAATAAAATGAATAAAAAGATCGCGATGCCATAACCACTATATTATCACTGGTATTATTTGGAATAAAATATATTGACGAAGGTATTCTTGATCATTTTTCCGTAGCTACCATATTACCATAACTACTGCATTATCATTGGTATTATTTTGAATTAAATAAATTCATAAAATATTCTAAATTTATTTTCCGAGATATACTTATTCGCATTTATACATTATCGAATTTATATTATTCAGAAGAATTGTATAGGCCTTTAAATACCAGTGTTGTTAAACGCTATTTTTAAAAGTAGCGCGCTATCGCAACCGTTAATTTATAAAAAAATAGCGGGCTACCGCTATCGTTTTCATATGTGTAGCGCGCTATTAGCTACTTTTTACGCTATTTTAATTTATTTTTTAAATATTTTTTATGTAACTTTATTTCCACAAATAAAATATGGTTATAAAAACTTGACTATAATTTGTTACATATATATATATAATTTATTTATTATTGCACCTTAATAATAATAACATTTCGGTAATGCCATCCCCAAGTCTAGAGCTATGATCAGAAAGTATAAGCTTTGCCATACTAAATATCGTTCAGCACTAGAGCTCCGTGAAGTTGGCCGAAAATTTGGAAGCACTAACGATGAATCATATGCCGTTTTTTAGTGCTTAAATCCGTATAGTAGCCGAATTTAATGAAAAAAAGTTACAAGCAAAAATAAAAATTTGTGCCAACTTCACGCTTAAAAGTTGACTGAAAGCACTAACGATGAAACTTATATCATTCTTTAGTGCTTAGTTAGTAGAGGTTAGTGCTTCAATCCCTTTTGTAGCCGAATTTAAGAATAAAAAGTTATTAGCGAAAAAAACAAAAATAAACAAGTGAAAAAACAAAAACTAGAGTAGTACTAAACATCCGGTTTTCGCCATTATTTAGTGCTTAATTAATGCATTTAAATTCCGTTATTAATTTGGTTAACAGCCATATGGAAAAAAAGTTATAAGCTAAATAAAAATTATGACGTCACGATTTAAGCGTGAAGTTGGCCGAACTTTTGGAAGCACTAACGATGAAACTTGTATCATTCTTTAGTGCTTCGTTAGTAGAGGTTAGTGCTTCAATCACATTTGTAGCCGAATTTAAGAATAAAAAGTTATTGGCGAAAAAAACAAATATTGGCGACGTGCCAAAACAAAAACTAGAGTAGTACTAAACATACGGTTTTCGCCATTATTTAGCGCTCAATTAGTAAATTTGAATTCCGTAATTAATTTGGATAACCGTTAAAAAAACCGTAATCTTATATCATTCTTTAGTGCTGCGTTAGTAGAGGTTAGTGCTTCAATCACATTTGTAGCCGAATTTAAGAATAAAATGTTATTGGCGAAAAAAACAAATATTGGCGACGTGCCAAAACAAAAACTAGAGTAGTACTAAACATACGGTTTTCGCCATTATTTAGCGCTCAATTAGTAAATTTGAATTCCGTAATTAATTTGGATAACCGTTGAAAAAACCGTAATACGCTAAATAAATATTTAGAGGTCAAATTTTGGCCAGAAAATTATGAAAGCACTAACGATGAAATTTATATCCTTCTTTAGGGCTTCCTTAGTAGAGGTTAGTGCTTCAATTACTTTTGTAGCTGAATTTAAGAATAAAAAGTTATTTGCGAAAAAAACAAATAATGGCGACGTGCCAAAACAAAAACTAACTAAACATCCGGTTTTCGCCATTATTTAGTGCTTAATTAGCAAATTTGAATTCCGTAATTAATTTGGTTAACAGTCTTTATAAAAAACTGTAATACGCTAAAGAAATGTTTAGAGGTCAAATTATGGCCAGAAAATTATGAAAGCACTAACGATGAAATTTATATCCTTCTTTAGGGCTCCCTTAGTAGAGGTTAGTGCTTCAATCACTTTTGTAGCCGAATTTAAGAATAAAAAGTTATTTGCGAAAAAAACAAAAATAAACAAATAATGGCGAAGTGCCAAAACAAAAACTATAGTACTAATAAACATCTGGTATTGCCATTATTTAGTGCTCAATTAGTAAATTGGAATTCCATAATTAATTTGGTTAACCGTCTTAATAAAAAATTGTAATAAGTTAAAGAAATGTTTAGAGGTCAAATTTTGGCCAGAAAATTATGAAAGAAAAAATTTTGGCCAGAAAATTATGAAAGCACTAAATAATGAAATTTATATAATTCTTTAGAGCTTCCTTAGTAGAGGTTATTAGTGCTTCAATCAGTTTAATAGCCTAATTTAAAATAAAAAAGTTATTAACAAAATAAACAAAAAATCTATCAGCGACAAACATTTTATTTTCACAATTATTTAGTACTTATTTTGTAAAATTTAAACCCTAATTAGTTTGAAACCCCAAGTAATTAAAAAATGCATATTGAGTAATATAATGTTTCAGAAGCTATATATGTTAAGGTTCCCAAAATACATGAATAGCTATAACCAAGTCATAAAATATTATTTCCACTACTGCCTAAATGGGTCCATTGAACCCCATTCTTGTGTAATAATTATATAATTTTTATTATTTTATTGTAACAACTACATTTTTTCTCTGGCATCTATTATTCTGAGGTGTCATTGAATGATATGGTTAAAAACATTCTCAGAAATTTTTTATTCTTGATTCAAATTGTTCTTTATACATAGTTTTATTTTATTCGAAAAAATTACTCATATATTTATTCCTATCATAAATTTTAGTTATATTAAGATCACAATATTATGAAGTACCCGTCGAACCGTGCTTAGGCCTATTTTTTTTTAAAATAAATCGGGTTCGGGCCTAATATTTTTAAAAAAAGGGCCGGTTAGGGTTGGGCCTAGATTTTTTTTAAAATATATCTAAATTTATCAATTATATATTGAATTTTTTATGTAAAATAAAAATATTTGATTTTATTTAAAAACTCGACAACATATAACATATGTCTTTTATTTTGAGTAATTTAAAAATTATTTTCTATATTTAAATAAATTCGGGCATGACCGGGCTGGGTCGGTAAATTTTTTTAAAAAAATTTCTGGTTCGGACCGGGTCGGTAAACTTTTTTAAAAAAATTTCGGACCGGGCCGTGCTTGAAAAATTAGGCCCGATGCAGATCACTAATACTTATGCAAGAATTCTGAGAGTTACCCTGATTCGATAAATTACTGCCATATTAATCCTTCAAATTTTATGACACCTTTCTAGACGCCTAAGAAAATTTTGGACCAAAACATTAAAAAATTATATTAGATTCATAAATTTGACGTTCGTCTTTATTAAAGTTTTATTATTTAAAATTTTTTTAAAAAAATTATATCAAAATCAAAATGTTATTTACAATAATTTTGGAAAGTTATTTAACTATATAAGAATGTTTCACATTATGGAAATGTGTTACATACTATAAAAATCTACAAGTAATCAAAATTTTTTTGAGTAATATAAAAAATTAACCACAGAATTTCCCATATGTGATTAATAAATCAACACTCAGCTGTAAACCATATAATAAATAGAGGCCTAACAGCTGCACACATTCCAAACAATCTTGAACCATCAAATTTATCTCAAGTAGATGGTTTAAGACCTGATGGTATGACAACCATACCTAGGGCCCTCGGCAAATCACTCATTGGGACTACACGTGTGTCTCATAATTCCCTTCAAACATAAATTTCAATTTAATAACATAGGCAGAAATTAAAAAGACAAACAAATACAAAATTTTAAAAACTTCATATTCACTCTAGTAGTGACTTCTACTAACGAGCATTTTTCGCCTTCAACATTTATGTTTTTAAAAAATCTGGGTAATAAAATAAGACTTTTCACAAATGAACCCAGAGAATTTCTTTTTATTCGACAAAAAATTCAAATAGAAATTTTTAGACACAATTATGGTTCCTTTTTGGGGACTCAATTATAGAATTTTATATTTAATTATATAATTAT